CTGTAGGAGAGCATTAATACTTAATCAATTAAGTATCAATTAATACTCCTCAATGGGGATTCATTTAATTCATTTGCGAGCCCACCCAGACATCGCTGCAGCAGGCAGCAACAGCTCAACAGCCTTCACGCTGTCCTTCTCCCTCGGGCTGGTCTCTGTCCTGTGCCAGGGAAGCCCATGCTGGCCACCCGACGCCATGGGGCTGCTTTCCGCCCATCTTTGCCAAAATCCCTTCCTTAAGCTGTTCCCTCTCCTCCTTTCCCAGCTGGGCTGAAAGCTGTGTGCCCAGCAGAGCTGGGGAGAGTGCAGTGCCCCTGGGGAAGCTCCTAAACCTTCATTTCAGCTCCTGCGTGGTGGTTCTCAGGCTCAGCATGGCAAAGACATTTCCATAGGTGTCTGGGGGACCATCCTGAGCCCTTCCCAGCACCCTTTCTCCCTGAGAGCAGGGGGGCAACTTGGGGGGCTGGGGTGCAGTCCCAGGTGTCAGCCAGCGAACCCCCGGTTAGGCAGGCCGGCAGGTTAATGCTGGTTAGGGCCGGGGACTCCCTAAAGCTCACCGTGGCTGCCTGCAGCAGCACTCGGGTACCACCACCACCAAAACTGCTCCTCCAGAACCGGGCGATGAGCCCAAACCCCTGCACCCGCCAGGAGCTCCCTGCCCTGCAGAGCAGCAGAGGCCCAAGCGGTCCTGCCCGCAGAGCCCTTCTGCGTGGCACCGGCTGCACCGTCGTGGCCGGACCCAGTCACCAGCTGAACGTTTTCTCCCAGCTCCTACGAAACCAGAGCCAACCCATGCTTTAAGCACCGGGAGGACTGAGCATGCTGCCCGAGTACCCCTCCGTCTCCCAGATAACAACTCCTCTTGGTCCTCGGCCATCGTCAGGTTGCCCAGCACTCACAGTTCAAGGCTACGGGGCACGGCTCTCACCCCAGTTTGCTTTTGCAACTGGCTCCTGCCACCTTCCCCGCCGGCGGGGGGACAGAGCCTGCTTCCCACCCTCACGTTCCCTTTCGCCGCTGGCCTCCTACCCACCCACGGGTGACCGCAAGATCCCACCGAGAGCAGGGTGCTCTCTCCCAAGCGTGAGGTCCACCTTGCTATCGTTTAACCCTCTGTTGGCACCCGACAGCCAACCCTTGCTTGACTTTTAACCTCTCCTCAAACTCTGCCAGGCTTTCCAAGGAATTACACCGCACTGTCTCCAACTCCACAGCAGGGAGGTGCGGGGTGTCCCAAGGTTTCGGTCCCCCAGTAACTGTTACATTTGGTCTTACGGCAAAAGGAAAAAGGGAAATGCTTAAATCTACCGAGTCTCCTGCTCTTGGTGGCTGTAAACCCTGTAGGGAACGAGCTATGGTACAGGTATACGGGAGAGTTACCTGCTCCGGTAATCGCCGGCATATTGAAAATCTCTGTCCCAGGCTGCCCAACATCTGGAGAAAAACAAAGAAGCTCTTCAGTACGGAGAGCAGCATGTGCAGGCTGGTGGTAGCAGGGACCTGCCGTGCCAGCCACGACAAGATCCCAGTGTCCCTGTCACGGCAAGATCCCGGTGTCCCTGTCACGGCAGCCAGCCTGACAGCAGCCCCCCTCCCCCAGGCACCGGGCCGGGTCTGTGGGCTGGGACCGGCAGTAACGCCTGAGGGAGATCCACAGCAGGCACGCCTCGCCAGCTGGGAAAGGGCACAAAAGCGGAGCCCAGAGAGCCGGAGCAATGTCTTTGTGCTCAGCGCTGACCTCCCTCCCTCCAGCCCTTCGGATTACAAGTGCCATGAAGTCAAACCCTCTCTGCTGCCTACGGGATTTCCAAAGGCTCAAATCCCCACATCCAGGGAGCAGGTCTGGGCAGCGGGGAGGGTAAGAGGAGAGGAAGAAATGTTAAATCAATATTTTCCCTCTTAGCTGAGCTGTTTGACTCAGCTATCGCTTTCCTTAGAATAACAGAAATTCTCATCAAATAAGAGGCGTTTCCTATTTCTATATATTTTCCCTTGATAAGGGAAAGTGTGGAAGGTCACGGGGTTCAGCCACATGTCCCCAAAGGCACATAACAATACTGTTGGCTCATGGTAACATCATCCAGCAGACGAGACAGCTCAGCCCCTCTTATCCGATGCAGCTGTTGTAAGATGGATTCAAATTGAATTAGTATTGACTGTATAATGCTGGGCTAAATTAAATTATGATCCTATCTACTCTATTAGCGGTTAATGAATGAACGGGCTGAATTTCTAATATAAGCCAGCCTGGTTAGTTTTACAGAGCCATATCAATATTGATGTAGGGCTTAAAGTAACGTTGAGGGGAGATATATCTCAAGGAGGAAGGATTCAGCTTGGCTGGCCATTCATTAAAATATCAATTGCTCTTAAGTCTCTTCCATGCTCAGCTCATTATTTCCTTCCTATTGAGGTTATCTGGCGCGGGTGGGATTGACAGCCCTAGAGCAAGAAGATGCTGGGCTGGGACGCCTCCCGTCTCCTCCCCAGATACACACAGCCACTGCTGGCACCAGCACAGCTCATCCCAGGAAGCATTTGGGCCTCACACTTCCCAACAAACCATGGCACGATGCAGAGAAAGCTGGCTAGGAGCTCCTAGCCCTTAACACAGCAGCACCCATTCCCACATCTCCTTCGCTTCATGTGTCCTTAAGGCTTTCCCCCCCCGCCCCGGTGCCCTGCATTCGCCTCCCCACATGTCCTTACTGTACTCAGTCTCATTTTTGTTGGTCGTGCTGAGCTTCTTGATGATCTCCTGTTTCTTGGACTTCACCATGGCAGAGTTGCTCTCAGTCAGCTTGCTGAAGAAAGCTGGAGGCTGAGTGTTGTTGCCTGGGGACTTGGACCCCATCCTGCAAAGCAAAAGGCTACTGGTAACCTCTGCAACATCTAGTTCACAAAATCCTACCTAAAGAGCCTCTTCCCTCAGTCTAACTTCACAGAATCAGCCCGGGGGCTCCTGAGATACTCGGGATCCCCAACCTTTCTCCCTATCCCTACCATAAATGTACCACACGGTGTCGAAAAGCCCCTACAAACGGACAGCGACCTGGGATGTGACACTGCTTTTGGCTGCAAGGAAAGCAGCCTGGGCCAGGGCGAGCGTGGGGATGAGGGGAAGGTTCCCAGGCTGTCTCCAGCATCCCCTCCCTCGGCGTTACCTCTGGTCGATCTGCTCGCCCTCGCGGTACAGGATGGGGTACGTGGTGGTCTTGGCGTGCTCCGATTCCCCCACGCCGTCTGGTGGAGAGACCGGCTCGATACAGTTGTCCGACCCGCTCCCCGTCGAGGCTTTGCTCTGCTCCGGGGACCTGTGGATGCAATCGGTTTATTGCAACATCATCTCTCTCTGCACAGCAGCTCGGGGTCGGGAGGGGGAGAAGGACTAAAATAGCTTTCCTACAGCAGGGAAAAAAGCCAAACCTTCCACACCCCTGTGGGCTTACGGTGCCTTTTAACGCAAGCCGGAGGAAGAGCGCAGCTTGGGCATTTTTCTGCACCGCAGGTGTGCAGAGCAGGACTGAGTCGAGACATGGCCCAGATTTCCAGGCAGCGGGCCAGCCGGCAGCCACCCCACATACGGCTGCCCGGGAGGGATGGTGGGACCAGTCCTGGGACCTGCTGGCTCAGCCCAAGCATCCCTGGCTGACAGGGACACAATCCCCACGGAGGGCTGCGATGTTAACCCTTTGGGGACACGGCTTTTCATTCTCCATCGTATTTGTGAACACAGTGGAGGGCAGCACCCGCCACCTCCTGTCCACCTTGTCTGGGGCCATGCAGGGGCTCGCGGGCTGCGGGCGATGAGCCTGGCACTGGGGCAGCCTGGAGAGGACCGACGCAGTCCCCCGATGCCTGCCCGTGGCCAGTGCCTGGGAGGCAGCCAGGCTCCAGTCTGCGAGGAATTCCTCACGGCGAGTTCTGGGAATTTACGTCTTTGTTCTTTCTGTGGTTTCTTCCCGCTCCCCCCCAGCCTTTTTGGTCACTGGGTGGCCAGGGCTGGGCTCTCTCCCCTAATATTATAAAGCCAACTCTAGGATCAGGCAGAACTGGGAAGAATAATCACTTTACTGACAAGGAACCACCAGTTTGGAGACACCACTCTTTCCCGGATGCATCTGGGTCTCTGTCAGTGTTTGGGTGGGAGGACAGACCCCGTTCTCACACTTCCCATTTTTTAACTCCGTACAGCAGCAATCAGACCTGCCTTGTGTGGAATCAGCACAAGGATTTGAAAGTGACTTTAAAAGAAATACAGGTGGTGCCTGAAACGGATAGTTGCAGTTGACAGGGCACATGTATCTAACAAGCTTCTGCTTCACTGAGAAAGATGAAGATAAAATTAACTTTGAACCAACAGAAAACATATTGCTTTGTGTTTTTTGGAACCATCTGTGGTCTGAAAGGTCACTGCGCCATGACCTGCCAGGGACTGAGGACAGTGTCAGGACAAGAGGCTACAGGCACAAACCATAACACATGAAATTCCAGCCCAACACAAGAAAACACTCTTTTACTGTGGGGGTGCTCAAATGCTGGTACAAGTCGGCCAGAGAGGTGTTGAAGTCTCCATCAGCAGAGATATTCAAAACCCAACTGGCCATGGCTGAGGACAACCTGCTCCAGCTGACCCCGCTTGAGAGCAGAGTGTTGGGTTGGATGATCTCAAGAGGTCCCTTCCCACCTAAACTATTCCATGACACCAACCAGATCGGGAAGCGGATCATGCACAGACTCTAAGGGGGTCTAAAGAGCATCTCGAGGACAACAGGGAAGGCAAGAGGCACCACCGCAGGCGAAAAATGCCCAGATGAGAAAGCAGTTTTACACTCTGGGCTGTGTAAGCAAGCAACCCACACAAGCACCAAGCCGGGGAGCATAAATTCAGCAACGCCAAATGCCAGCCTGCCCTATGCACCCCCTTACCAGGGTGCCAGGCAGCCAAGGGCACCCACCCAGCTCCTCACCCTGGGTAGCCCTGGTCCATCTGAACTCGGACTGGCACAGCGGGTGGGCAGAAACCCACCTGCGCCAGCTTTGGTTGGACTCTCTGACCTCACCTTTTGCTGCCTTCGTTCTGCGGGGAGATCCTGGAGGCTGCCACATGTTCCTGCTGCTGCAGATATGCCTCGCTGGGGGTGCGGCGCAGGTCCAGCACGGGGCACGTGGCCCCGGGGAAGGAGTACACCGGAGTCTGGATATGGGAGTTGAGCTGCTGTGGGTGGTGGCGGGTGTAGTCCTGCGTGATGACCTCCTAGAAGAAGAAACCCCCGAGTCAGAAATAGAGCTGGTTTCTACCTCCTGCTTTGCTGGGCTCAACTAAGACAGGGCAAGCAGGAGGGCATTAGGTTGGGCTGTCCCTGGGGATGTAACTTCTGCCTCCTGCCTGCAGCAGCTCTTGTGATGGGCTGCTTGGGGACACCAACGCTCGAGCTGAACATGCCTGATGCACCCTGCTCTCTTCAGCCCCCAACCAGCGGTGCTGAGGTCTCTAGCATCACTTGCAGTCCTTTCCCACCAGACGTGTTTCATACCAGCTCTTCCCTCCTCCCCGGAGCCCCAGCGAAGGCGAGAATGAGGTTAATTACACTGATGTGCTGGGCCAGCGTGACCACACGCTGGTTCATGCCCTTGATGCTCTGGCTGGACTGCAGGGGCTGGCACTGGGGCTGGGGACCGTCAGGCTGCCGGAGGTGCTGCAGGTGGGCGGCTTCAGACACCGAGGCCTTCAGCGAGCCTGGGGGGGCCACAAAGAAGAGAGGAGGCGTGAGATGACATCTGCGTCCCCTTCCTTGAACAGCATCCCAGCATGGCACCGGGGCACAGCAAGCGAGAGCTGGCTGATGAAGCCCCTCCGTGCCATCTCGGGCTCTCCTGCGCTGCTGGCACTGCCAGCTCCTGCCCTCACCTTGCTGTTTCAGCCTCAGGTCATGCTCCCCGTGCCCCTTCTCCGCATCCTGCAGCAGCTTGGCCCCTTTCTCATGGGACAGGCTGGGTGAGCTCACGGGACTCACTGCTTCCATCCGCTCAGGGCTGTAGCCTCCGTGAAAGCCTGGGGAAATGGGAAAAGGGAGTTAAAACCAGGAGCTTGCTTGGTTTTTCCCTAGTGCTGTGGCAACCTTTGCTTGTGGGTAGAGTCACACGTTCAGCAAAGGGGAGCGAAAAAAGAGATGAGGGAAGACCTGGCAGGTCACATTGCAGGGACTCCTGGGGCCACCTCCACTGTTCAATTGTGGTGATGGCTGCAGCAAAGAGGTGATGTCTCATTCCTGCAGGGCTGGACACTCAGCAGCTCATGGTGACAGCACGAGAGTCAGGAACCAAACTGAACCCTGCCCATTCACAACTTCTTCCCCCCTTTCCCCCATCTACCGAAACAGAAAAGTAAAACCCCCACTATGCCAGGAGGGAAAGCAATGCTCTGCAGGAGTGGAGGTGGCTGCACAAGAGGTCTCCAAGTGCTTTACAAAGAAAAGCCCCAACCCCAGCACGGCCAAGAGCAGGGACTTGAAAACCGGGCGTGAGGCCCTGCAGACTCCAGATCCTGCTCCAGAGCCTCACACACCGCAGGGGCAAAAAGGCTTCTTGACAATTCTTTGCTTTTTAAGGCCTTTGCACAGATTCAAGCTGCATCAAAACAGGCAGAGCTGGAATGAGGGATCACCACCACCTTTCAACAGAGAGAGGAAACTGAGGCACAGACGGGTTATGCTTCCACAGGCCAGAGGTGGAGGATGGAGGAGTCCTGGAGGAGACACACACTGCCTCCCGTCAGCTAAGCACGTTTGGTAACGCTCACGACTTTTGCCTCCACAGACCTTCACCCTCCTAACGCTCGATTCCTGGAAACCGCCCACTGCAGGCAAATCTGGCAGGTGGCCCACAGCATTGCCGGGGGGTCCCCGGTGCCCAGGCACGGACACACTGACCTACCATGTACCAGGGGCATGGGGAGGGGAGGACTCCCATGGAGAACCTCCCTGCCCCGGGGATGGGGATGCAGCATCCCCCATCACCCCACACATGCCAGCACCAAAGGGACCATGCTTCAGATCCACCCAAGATGAAGTATCCTGCTCTGGAAAGATCCTTAACTAACATTTAAGTCCTGAGGAACACCAGCTCCTTCCTGTAAGCTCGTGGCTGTAGAAAAGCTGCCCCTCTTCTCCACAGCATGACAACACTCAGCTGAAGGAACCTCTGGTGCCAGGGAAAGCAGCGGAGGAAAAGCTCAGCCAGGCAGTGCAGAGAGGCCAGAGGTGCGTCCTTGGCCCTGGAGGACACAGCTAGAAGGGGCCGGGACCAGACATGACCAAGCGGCGGGATGGGTGGGTCGGGATGCGCCAGTGAGAGCCGCTCTCCTCCCCGGCCATGCTGCCATGTCCTTTCCACCCTTGGGTTACAGGAAGGGGAGCTGGGTAGAAACTCGCAGTGCTGATCAAGGCAGATGCTTCAACTTGAAGATGGGGTCCCACCAAATCCCCACGGGCTGCCTGTTGCTTCTGCATGCTGGTGGGAGCCTGGATGAATGCTCCGGATGAAGGCTGGTCCTGTCAAGATTTTGGAGAAACTTATCCCAGCGCTTGTGTGTCCTAAGCAAGATTAGGTGGTTCCCGTGCTCTGCGCTGGAAATGGCTGCTGAGCACGGCTGGGCTGAGGGATCCCTGAACAGCCACGTCCACGTTGCTCTCTTGTGCAGCATCCAGCACCAGGACCCTGAGCGAGGTCACCCCAAGTGAAGGGACGTGGTCCGGGCTGCATCATGCAGCAGCCCCCAAAGCCCTCCGAGACCCCGCACACTCAGTGGCACAACCATGAGCAGGGAGGTGCGTGTCTGACGGCCAGCAGCCCTGTTCTGCTCACACTCCCAGTTCTCCACTTCGCTCCTTTGATTTATTACCCACAACCGTTCCTTACAGACTGCCTGGGAATTTCTAATGATGGGGAAATCAGAATTAGCAAATTGCTATTGTCTGTAAAGAGCAATACCAGGAACTGAACATTTGCAAAACAGGGCTTGGCAACGGGAAAAACTAAAAGAGGGTGGGAGAAGGGAAGATCCTTAACACAAACACACACACAAATAAAAAAGTCTGGAATAACACAACAACCGGGAAGCAGAAAGACAAGCACGCTTGGGGAGCTGACGAAGCCAATAGCCAAAATGTGCAACTAAAAATAAGAAATAATGAAATAAAACGGGTTTCAGGCCACAGCTCTCTCACCTCTCCCCTCCAGTTTCTTACCACCACCAGTGGAGCTGTTACTTAGCCAGTCTCTTTCTCGCTGCCCCTTATCGCAAGACATTTGGTGCACGACAATCACATCTATGAAGTTGGTTGCTGTCGTAGTGGTCTTACCGAGTGCTCGGAGCTCCTGTTCTTGCATTGAGAAGGGTTTACTTTGACTCTTCTCTCTACTGTGCTGCTCGGGGCCCGAGGCTGCGTGCTGCTGGTCCAGAGGGTGGTGGTGCTGCTGGCTTTTCCCCTGTCCTCTGCTATAGTGATGAGAAGAACCAGGTCCAGAGGCGGGCAAAGATCTCGACTCCATGGCTTTAATGGGTGAAGGCGACTGTTCGAGGTTGGCCCCACTGGGCAGCTTTGAGGTGAAGACGTTGTTGTCAGTCTGGGGTCGTTCTGTCTTGGCTTCCCGTGCCCTCGAGGCCTCTTTCTGTAGGATGGCCGGGTCCATCGGGGCCACATAGCCGTCTGCTGCGCTGATGGAGGAGCGCAGGGTGGAGGCCGAGGGGAAGGCGGCGGACCGGATCGGTGACGTGGTAGTGGTGGAGGAGGATCTGGAAGGCAAATGAAGACAAGGCGAAAATGAGAGAAGCACATGGAGAAGGGAAATGCTGTTATCAGAGCCCCAGTGGTCAGCCCTGCCTGGCCGAGGTCCTCCCAGGGCTCCTGAGCGTAGGGCTGGCCCGTGCTGGAGCAGGTGAGGAGGGCTTGGATGGAGCCTCTACCACAGTAACTAGCCACGGGGTATTGGCTGTGGCCTGGAGGCATCGACTGGAGAGAATAAAACCCACAGACAGGTCCCAGAGACCTTCGTAACTCCACCACCAGGCAACTTTCAGCAAGAGGAGTGATACCTGTATTTGGGCACAGGAATGCTCCTGCTTTCTTTCCCGGTAGCAGCAAAAGTCACCAGGAAAAGTGAAGGAATTGGGCACCAAAATCTGCCTCTCCCCATCACAACTTCCCTGTAAACCCAAAACCTGCTTCTGCTCAGACCGAAGGCCAAAGCAACCCTCGCTCCATCTCAGAGGTGCCCCGTGGGATGCTCGTTAATTAACTGCCATGGCCACGCTGGTG